AAAAAATGCGATGTGAGTGCATTTTAGCACTTAAGAAAAGTGCAGTGTTGACAGCCCTGAACCCCTTTGCTCATTCCCACAACAAGCTGGGACAGCAGGAAGAACAGTAATGCATGCTTCTCTCGGATCCACCCACCCCATATCTGTTTTCCCTCCACATTGGGAATAAGGATGACATTTCTTTTGCACTCCACAACATCTCTGCTGAAGCTGCCAGCAGTGATGGCATTGTAGACATTCATTTGTTCGGAATGAGACTGAGACTGCCAACTCATTTCTGATAGTCACCGTGTAGGTTTCTCCCAGTATTGGCACCATTTGGACTGTCCAGCTGGTGACACCTAGATCTGTATTCCATTACAAGTACCCCAAGCCATCCAATTCCAAGCATCTGGCCTATACAAGTGCTCCAAGCTTCTTGTTAAACCTTTTAACAAAAAAGAAAAGTAACCAACCAGCAGGACAAGGCAACATGGAAAAAAAGATCCTGTAGAAGCAGCAAAAGCACATTTATTTTGTAGTTAACACTCCAGATATCAAGCCATGAGGAATTGCTCTATAGCAGTAGCCACCAACTGGTAGATCGTGATCAACTGGTTGACCATGGAGCCTCTAAGAGTTGATCTCAGTCTCAGACCCCCATCTTGTTTTTTTTCCAAGCTGAAGTTAGGCATAAAACATGGGGGCACAAAGTGGCCAATGCAGCTGGCAGCCAGACTCCATTTCCCAGCAACCCCTGCCCTTATGGCTTGGGCCCGTCTCCATGGAGACCCCAGCCACAGCCTGAGTGGTGCTGGCATACCAGGGCAGGCGGCTGCTCTGGAGCCACTGGGAACTTGGGATATGGGCAGCTTGCTCCGGAGCCAGGGCAGAGCCACGATCTGTAGCCTGCACACTCTCGGCAGGGGATCATGGTTCTGCTCCTGCTGCAGACCAGGCTGTCACCACTGCAAGGAGCCACGGCAGAGCCACGATCCCTTGCCTGGAGCATGCAAGCTACAGGTTGTGGCTCTGCCCTGGCCCTGGAGCAAGTTGCCCCCATCCCAAGTTCCCAGTGACTCCAGAGCAGCCCCCTGCCCTGCCCTGCTCTGCCCTGTGAGCTGCCAGTGTGGCTGGGGCTGGTCTCCATGACAACCCCTGCCTAAGCTTTCCCTTGAAGGTGAAGCTGGGCTCTCCATGGAGACCAGCCCAAGCCATGCAGGCAGCTGGGAACCCAAACTTCAAGGCTAGGGATAGACATGCAAAAAGCCTGAGCCTGAATTGATTCAATCTTTACAGGTTAGTCTAACCCATTTAGGTTAAATCAGTTTGTAAATGTAACATCCCAGACATGCAGGCACATGCCTGCAGTGGCTCAGGCTAGAAGCCAGGAGGTGCTAGAGCAACCAGTGCTGGGCGGAGGCAGGGTGTGGCCAGGCCCTGGCAGGATGCTCTGATTAGGAAGGGGCTCCCCCATCCTGACCAGCCCAGCAGGGAATTGATAACACAGTGTTTATTAGGGCTGTGCAAAACAGCACCGTTACATTTTGACTTGCGTTTCAGCCGATTACTGTTTCGACGTTTCACCCATAGGCTATAATGGGGAAGCTCAAAACAGCCTGTAACTGTCATTTCTGGTCTGCTTTGAATGAAACCTGCAGGAACAGCAGCCCCTTCTGAGGGCATGAAACCTGCCACGTTTCAAGGAGATAGGTGCAGGGGTTTCAGGGAAACTGCACCTCAAAGTCTTGAAAGCAAAAAGCTCACGTCACATGTATGTGTTAAGCCACAGTATGGTCAAAACTGCAGGGGTGGTGGCCCCTGCTGAAGCCAAGAAGCCTGCCAAGTTTCAAAGAGATTGGGGCAGGGGGTTGGGAGAAACTGCACCTCAAGCTGAGGACAAGCAAAACTCATGACATAGGTGACGCTGCGTGTTAAGGCGTAGCGGGGTGAAAGCTGCAGGCCTGCTAGCCCCTGCTGCGGCCACGAAGCCTGCCAGCTGTCGAGGAGATGGGAGCAGGGCGGGTCTGGGGCCCTGCACCTCTAGCTGCGGACAGGCAAAACTTGTGACATGGGTGGGTGACACTGTGTGTCAAGGCCCATTGGCCTCCCCATACCTCCAGCCACAACTTGGTCCTCCACCGTTTAAACACAATGAAAATATACGAACATCTGCTCCCAAATAAAATGAGCTCCCCACCCTGAGTTAACACCCAACCGTGGCAATGCTCCAACACAGACTCAGCCATTTATCTGCTGCCCAGTGGCACAGGGGTCTCCTTCCAGCTCTCCTGTGGTCTGCAGTCCTTCTTCCTTAAGCAGGCTGGCCTTTCTCCTCCCTGTAGCTTGGCTTCCAGCAGTCTGAAAGGCCATACTGCCCTGCCCGCTTCATGTCTTTGGCTTATATATCCCTTTCCAGGTCACCTGACACACTACTTCCACCCCAGGCTTAGCAATTACTGGCCACACCTTGGGCAGATGGCCATTTTATTGAGGGGCCCTCTGGCATTATTGGCTTGTCCAGGAGGCTGGAGCCAGCCAGCTGGTCCTTGGCTCCCTCTCTCCTTCAGTAATGGGGTAAGGGTCCCATTCGAGTGGGTAATAATAATTCTGACCTCTCTCACAGAGATTATATGAGACTGACATATTAATTCGTATAATACTTCTGAGCTCCTTGATTGAAAGATACAATATACAGTCATCAGGAGGCTGGACCCGATGGTCTCGTGAGGTCCCTTCCAGCCCTAACATCTATGAAATCTATACAAATAGCTGTTGTTACAGCTGTAGTAATCAGTAACATAACTAGGCTGGGGTGACTGGGGCAGCAGCCCTGGGAGCCAACTTGGGGGAGGCAGAAAAGTAACAGCTGCTCCTGCAGCCACACAATCATGCCAGCAACACAGCAACAGCCGGAAGTCACCCCTGCCCCCATGCATCCTGTGCCTTAGGTGCCCAGTTGCCTTGTTATGCCTCTGCTAGTAATGCAGGTTTTAGTAGATGCTTTGATTGACTTAGATCAATAGATCTGTCTGCAGTTTAAGAATGAAGTGTCAACATCTATGCTGATATATTATACAGCCACTATGACTGCAGGTGTAAGCAAGGCAGGGTTCTGGTTCCAATCCTACCTCTTTTCTACAGCAGATTTGTGTTAAATTGCACTGACATTCTTAACTTGTGAGTTCAATTAATTAATGTTTGTACAGTGCTTTGAAAAGTAGAGCCCTGTGCAAATAAAATGGAGCTCTGTGTGAATGCAGAATATTATTGTTAATGATACACTCATAGAGTAATGGAGGAGCTGTCAAAATCAGTTTTAATCCTCTCTGAAGAAAACATTAGAGGCAAGTCACACTGCAATGCGATCATAAGAATACCTTAAAATTGCCTGGCTATTTTGAGAGGATTAAACTTAAAAAAATATGTACAATTGCAATAACAGGAAAGCCTCACTATTCGCAGGTTCGGCATTCATGGTTTCAAATATTCACAAATGCCAAACCTGCATCTTAAATACACTTAAAGGAGCTCCTCGGGAGCTCCATGCTTGCTGCCGCCGGGCTCCTGCCACCACCAGTGCAGCTGTGCCCCCTCCCAGCTGGAAGAGGCACTGGCATTGCAGATGGCATTCATGAACGTAGTGCCTTATTCGCGGACTTCGCCATTCATGGGGGATATGAGAATGTATCCCCTATGAATGGCAAGGGTCTCCTGTAGTGAGAATTTCTTACCTACACAATTTGGAGTTTAGGGCCATTTGGGGAAATCATTACTAATTGAATCACAGCAGCAACCAAAACAGCCCAAGAAAATACAGAGAACTTCTGCTCTCAGCAATACCAGCAACATCAGTGGGATCATACTGGCTTGACCAAGTGTAGCCCGGGTCAGTGTAAGCCTATGTGACTCTACTTCAGTAGAGCTGTACCTGCTTCCACCTACATTCAAGTGGCCCAGCTTTGAATGTGACCTTCCTCCCAGTGCAGCCAGTAGCAAAATCCTGCTGTTACAAATGGGAGCAAGATAAAATGTTGTTGATTTATTTGCCTCCTGATAAAGGTAGGGGTGCTGGTTCTTGGCCCACAGAATAAATATTGTAGCACTGCAGTTGACTGTAGAATAAAATAGGTCTTAGTTCCTGTATGACAGACACTAAAGTCAGAAAAACTCCAGATGGAAGTGAGACATGTATTTTTAATAAACACTGAAAATGATGAGCTGCTGGAAGAGGTTCCCAAGGGCTATAGTAATTCCTCCATCACTTGGAGTCTTTTAATTGAGTCTGGATGCCTGTGTGAAGATTCGGATCTAGCTCACCCACAAGGTAACAGGCTCATTCCAGGAACGAATGAAGTCTTAGGGTAAGGGTACATGTTAGACTATAAGAAAGGCACTAAAAAGCATCTACACGTTAAACCTCATTTACTTGTGCTAAGTGCCCTCTAACCATCCCAAAGTTATGCCATTTCAGGTGAGGATTAACTCTGGGTCATGCTACTCAGCTTGTTTTAGGGTAACTTTAGTTTGCTCCACATAGCTAAAATGAGCAATTTGCAGTCCTCCAGCATCCCAGAATGTACCATTGCCAACCCCGACCACCCAGAGCAGGAACAGAGCTGAGGAGTTCTGGTTTCTAGGCACCCCCTGCTCACCGGCCCTCTAGTGGCAAGTCGGAGCTGTGCAGGCAAGAAACAATATTCACCCTTAACATGCAACCACTTAGTTAAACTTCAAGGTTTCACACTGCTTAACAGTCCACAGATTTGCTATGGTCTAAGTAAAATGTGTAACTTCACCCTTATAGCCCATGTTATATAGGTCAGACTGAATTATGCAAATGATCTTCTCTAGCCTTAAGGTCTGTGAATCTACATTGATAAGTGGATTGTCGAGTTTAGTGCCAATGCTATGAGAGAGAAGAAACCACTCTTCTGAGGATCATTTTAATCTAAACCTATTTGTTAGGAGGTGTTGTCAAATTAACAGGCACAGCATGTTTTTAACTTCTTTTACTTCAGGTGTCCCTGGTGGTCAATGTTGCGAGTGAATGTGGCTATACAGACAGCCACTACAAAGCTCTTCAACAGCTGCAGAGAGACCTCGGCCCATATCATTTCAACGTGTTGGCATTCCCATGTAATCAGTTTGGGCAGCAGGAACCAGACAGCAACAAAGAAATTGAGAACTTTGCCCGAAAGACTTATGGAGCCACCTTCCCTTTGTTCAGCAAAACTGCGGTCAGTGGTGCTGGTGCCAACGCTGTCTTCAAATACCTAATTGGTGAGTGTTAACTGCAGCAGCCTTATCTAAGACATGAGTCCCTGGTGCTGACTGGCTTTGAGCTGACACACAGCATCCAGAAGTTTCAAGTTTAGGATACCAAACTGCATCGTTAGGGGTATTTTACTAAATGCCTACATGAAATACTTGTAGGTGATGTGTACTCAAATTCTGATGTGCAGATCCTAGTGCCACTTAAAAGCCTAAGGGAATAACTATCTCAGCATGATCCAACTCCACCCTACTCAAGTCCCTGGAAAAATCTTAATGCATCTGTTAGTATTTTCACTCATCTTAGCCTCATGTCTTAAAAAGTGGTGAGCAGCCACCCATATTTTGCATCAAGAATTTTTCAGCAGCTGGAGCAGGGTGGAATACAATCATAACTCCATGCCCAGGGGGTGGAACATGGTCTGGTCCAGAACATCTAGAAATATGCTCCCTCCTGCACATAACATCCTGTATACTTCCTCTGTACCTGGTCATAGCCACTGGGTTTATCTACGAGACATTTACTACACAGTAGACTAGCTATGTAGTCAATGTCACATGTCTACATGTGCACCCTTATTAGTCTGGAGTAAACTAATTTACTTGTATTTAATTCTTGTATTTACAAGTACTCTCTTGATGAGGAGTAAAAAACTCCGCAGCAGCTCACATGTAGACGCTGCCCTGGCTGGCTGGGTCAGAACGGTGCTTCAGTGCAGACACTTGTGCAGACCACACCCAACTTGAATAAACTGTAACAATAAGCTCCAGAGTTGATTCAAGTGCAATTAAATATGCACGTGTAGATGCACCCACTACCATGGAAATTACTGCCTGCTTTTCCTTTCTCCACTTTGCAGTCATTCCTCCAAAACATCCCGGCCATGACAAAGCAGAGCCTGTAAAGAGTTAGGACTGATGAGATGCATCAGCAGGGCTGCAGGTTGAGAAGAGGCAAATTATCCACAATACCTACCCCAACCACAAAGCAGTACAAGCACCTGCTTGGAAAAATCCCTTCCACATTCCTCACCAGGAGTTTGGAGTAACTGTAGTGCAGAACCCATCCCATGATTTGCAGTGAGAATCTGTGGGGACAGAGCCAAGAAGCTGTGGGAGTTTGGGTTGTTTTCCAGCAGTCAGCTAGCAAAATGTTCCATAAAGCAGGCTGCTCTTTATCTAGGAACTGCTTTCTCATACCTTGAGCGAATACCCCAAACACCATTCAAGTACTGAACTGAAATTAAAGTCTTCAGCAACTAGGGAGAAAACAGTTTTGGGGAGGTGAAACAAATCTAATCCCCACCACTGTTGCATGTTAGCACACTGAACTGCCTCCTTCTCCCAGCACCACCGCTTTGTCTCCACTCACCCCTGGACTCGCAGTAATGTTGCTCTCCCCGCTATGTGATTGCTAAAGGCAATCCTCAGTGGCCACAGCTCACATTCCTGCCAGGGAAGTTTCTTCCAAGCTCATCCTCATCCTTCTTTATTTCTGGTTGGCTGCCACAGACTTGTTACATGCAAACTGCAAATCCTATTGCTCTCCCCTTGGTCCACAGAAAAGAAAATCCGCTGTTGCAAGCAAAATATTTACTGCAGTAAGCTACCATGAAAGTCACTAGCACAAGTGTGCTTAGTGCTCAGTGGTACCTGGCAATCTGATTTCAGGTGTTTTTCCCATCATAAGACCCATGGTCACAGATGGAAAGCTGCTTGATTAGCTCTGGATTCCTATCTTATTGCCTACTGAGAGACATGAAGCTTTAGTCTGATTAAAAATGTCATTACTGTACATCTGCATTTCATATTCTACAATCCTGGAGATGGGGAGGGTTGGGGAAATGATTAGACATCAGACCCAAGGAAGGATACTGCAGTACTTGAAAGTTTGTCTATGTCTGTCCCAGAGAGAGGTAGTTTGCCATGTTAGTCTGAAGTCAGGCAGAAGGCAGAGCAGAGTTTCACCACACAGACTAGCTGAGCCAGAGACGCCCACCATAAGCTTTTGTAAGCAGCAGGCTTACTTCATTAGATCCTGCCTATCCCATCAGATACATCTATCCCAGCCATCCTGTTGGTCCAATAAAAGATATCACGCACAAGAATCTGCCTGCCTCTATCAAACATTAGGACATACAAAGAATAGCCACCAGTGATGAGAATTACAAGGAAATGCCCCCTGAGTTGGGCTATGTCATTATTTCCTACTGCAGCATCTGGTATGGGCCACTATCAGGGCATCATGCAGGATACATGGACCATTGGTTAATTCTGCTACAGCTATTCCTATGCTCCTAGGCTCAATCTGCCTGCCAGTGCATTTTTTAGTGTTTTGCTCATGCCAAGTGACTGAGCTTCCATTAGTTTTCCTGGGACTATTCCCAGCCTAGTATCTCTGTGTCAGAAAACCCATTCCTGACATTCAAAGTAAATTATCCTTTATTCTTTGTACCACCTTTCTCTGAGAAGCTAGTCATCCCAATGTGATAGTCATTTCAAGAACAGGCTCGTGGTTTTTATTTCTTTACTGTATTTTCTTTTCACGTACAGAATCCACGGGAGAGGAACCAACCTGGAACTTCTGGAAGTACTTGGTGAATCCTAAGGGGAAAGTGGTGAAGGCCTGGGACTCTACTGTCTCTATTGATGAGATAAAACCTTACATCAATGAGCTTGTAAGGAACATCATCCTGAAGAAGAAAGATGAACTGTGACTTTCAAAAGTCCTATCATGTCTATCACGTCTTCACTGAGGATTAGGGCTGTTATTCCAACATTCATTCCAAAAAAGAGAAGGGAATCATGGCTAACAGAAGCTACTTACAACTTAATCCTATAAACACAGGGACACAATAACAAGGTGGTGGTTAAAAGGGATTTAGTTTATGCTTTTAAAGTATAAACTAAATTGAATTTGTGCCTTCCTAGGAAAGAAAATCAGGAAACATTTATTTGTGTCCTTACTCAAATTACTGATTGTTGATGAAATTGTAAGCAGCCATTTAGGATCTCTCTAAGCAGAAAGACTCAATGCAACTTGAATTTCCTTAGAGAGATTTTATCAGCAACTACAATTCACCTTCCATGACTTTGACCATGAACTTCATTTAAAAAACTAACTCAGAGTAGAAGAGACCACTTAATGTAGTGGCGACATGGTTATAAGGGATGGCCAAAATGGATTTCCTTGAACCCCAGGCACACTTACCTGGATGTGTTTCTCCCTAGTGAGCTAGTAGGGACCTCACTTTCTCTACCTGTTGCTTTGGTGGCAGGGAAGTCTCCTTGAAGGGAAAGAGGTGCCAAGACTAAATTTCCTTCAAGGAGACTGCATGACCTGTGAGAGCTATCTTTAACATTCTTTGGGTGCATCTACACATGCATTAATGTGATTTAGTTAATGCACAATAAATCTAGTACCTCTGGGTTTCTACACACATGCAGGGAGGCTGGTCCGATGTGCTGGAATTCCAGCACGTTGGAGCAGGATCCATTAATCGAGTCTGCTGGAACGTGGAAATTACCATGCTCCAGCAGACTCCAATGTCACATGTATCAGTGTCCCCACACTGAACAATGGCAGCCAGGCACTTTATTTTAAAGTTTGTTCAATGAGCTTTAGTTCAAAGCACCCCGCCACCATTTTTCAGCGCAGAGATGCTGATACACACAACACGCCTGTTGCTTATTAAAGCAACCCCTCTCACCCACCTCCTGGAGCATGTCTATAAACACTCTCCATTGTGAGGTACTAGGAAAATACACATTAGCCTATCTTAATGCACATTAACTAAACAGCACAGTTTTTCAGTGACACTTCAATGCACATTAAAATAGGCTAATGCGCATTAAAATGCATGTGTAGATGTCCCCTTTGTTTCTATAAAGCTTACCAGCATCTAGGCCACAAACTTACTGTACCTGGAAGCAAGTCCTCCACCATGCTGGAGTGCTCCCATGAACTAGAAGCAGAGGTGCTGTGTACTCACGTCACTGAGAACAGGCTAAACAGCATGGGAGTAGGCTAATCCCACAGCCCTGCCTGGAGGTACCTATGCTGCATGTGGTCCAGTAGGCAGGTGACACAGAGCAGCGCAGTTTTTTGGAGGGTGCTGCTGCCAGGCCCAGTCACTTTGGGGTTCAGACATTTGAACATCTGCAAAGCCAGAGTCTTTTGTCTAGCAATCCAGAAATGGGCACTTTATTATTCTTGCCTTTGAAAACTGCCACTTGCCTCAGCCAATGTTGAAATCCATGTTAAGTTTATAATTGTAAATGTTGTGCATCAACTAATGTTGTTGGTTGGGACTGGGAATACAGAGAAACAGTAGAAAATGCAACATTTTCAAAACAGGAGCCATTTTAAAATGCTTTAATCTTAACAAGTAGAGACTCAGTCTTGATTGGCTATTTGAAATCATGAAGATTTCTGTATTTTGGGGGGGAGAACCCACTGGGATGAGAAGGGGTAGTTACAAGAAGTTGAAATCAGCTTTATACTTGGACTGTGATAACAACTTTAGATATGGGGATGTTTTCCCCTCGCTAACATTGAACATTGTTCTCCTGCTAAGCTGAGACCTCTGATTCTCTTGGCTTAGTAGGTTGTACCTGTGGAGCAAAGTAAGATCTTTGCTTTGGGGGCTGAAAGATGTTTAATATCTAATGGTTCTATTGAGTAGCACCCTACTGCTATCAAGCCTAGTGCTTACTACAGCAAATTGTCCTATTGATATATGAGTTTTGCTTGTTTTAGGTCCTCAGGTTGCACACTGCTCAGGTGCATCTCCTTCAAAATGCCAGTTCTGCAGTGGTGCAAATCAGCAGTGTCATTGTTTTCATCAGGACTACACTCAAGTACAGCTGATGATTTGGCCCCATGTTTAGAGAGATTTGCATGCACTTAGGCCAACCAATCATCAAACAATATTAGGGAGAAAACGATGAACATGACAATATTTTCATCTTCCAAGATCTTTATGAGCTAATATTAAATCTTTACCAACTCCTTTTTAGGCACTGAAGATATGAAACACAGAACTGGTATATAATTAATCAAAGTTACCCAGTAGTCATTGTCGGGATTAAAGCCAGCGCTGGGTGGAGAGCACTAGACCACAAATTTACCTTTTTCAGACTTAATAATAATTATAGCTTCATCAGTTTTGACAGTGACCTTTAAAAAAACCTTATCAGCAAAATACTCTTTTATGAGGCATCCATGGACACTGACAGGCACCGTGCTTACCAAGACAATAGAATAGTTATTTATAAAGCAAGCAAAGGGGACAACTGACCCCTGTCTCTAAGAGTGTTCAGTTACAGTTCCCCAGTTGACAAGGGAAAGTTCTTTTGTATTGTGTAATTTTTTTAAGTGGTAAAAATATGGTAATAAAATTGTTAGCATTTTTTATGTGTTGTATACACTTTCAAATGGTTTCTGCAACTATACTTACCTATAATTATGCAGAGGTGTGTCTGAAGAGCAAAGAGAAGTAAGCCTTTATGCCTCCTGTCTCAATGCAGGATGCGGACCGTTCTGATGATCTGGTTGGGAATGATCCTGCTTTAAGCAGGAGGTTGGACTAGATGTCACCTCCTGAGGGCCCTTCCAGCCCTAATTTTCTATGATTCTGTGACCAGACAAACTGACAGAAAGCAATGGGGAGATATTAGAGTATCTGATGCTGCCCCCAGAGGCTTGAGTCCCTATCTCTAGAACAGGCCAAGAGAGGAGCTGCTTTGAGATTTGCAGAAAAGCAATGTGGACCCTGTTATCGTACATCAAGCAAACTGGAATAACCCAAGAAGCCAAGAACAACTTGTGAGCAGGTGCAAATTCTCAGACCACCGTTCTGTTGAAACTCAGCTGTCCTTTGTCCTGCCCTCTCACTCACCCACCATGTCTTGATGTTCAGGTTCTTCTGGGGAGATTTGATGGTCGCTAGTGGGGGGAAGATCAGTTTGGCTGGACTGGATGTTCTTTTGCAGGGCTCTACCTCCCCTACACCCTGCCCCTTTCCTCAGGTCTGTGGTAAATAACTCACATCAGTTCCACATTTGCATCCTCAGTTCATCATTTCACTTCTCTTGTTTCTCATTCCCTGCTACAAAAAGCTAGGTGTTAAGTCACAGCATATCCTTCAGTTGAATATTCACAACATAACATAAATTCACTTTCTACTTCTGACCCCATTATGTACATTCAGTTGGAATGTCTCCAAATTATTTAACTTCTTTTCCTTTAATTAATCTTATAAATTCATTCAAAATGTTCATGGATTAATTTACTTCTTATTTCTTAATCAATCCTATAATGTCATTCAACACATGCATAAATTAATTTACTTCTTACTGATTAATCAATCTTATAAATTCATTCCAGAATCCATAAATTAATTTCCGTCTTTTTTTTTAATCCCATAAATTCATTTGAAAAGTCCCCAAATTAATTCACTTTTTGATTCTCAACACAAATATCCCTAAATGCATCTGCTTTTCATTTCTACATAAAGGCTTATAAATTCTGCCCTTCCTGCAGTTCCCAAATCCATCCCGATGGATGGTCACACTTCTTACTCCGGAAAGTGATTTTATCTGGTATTCACAATTACAATGCCTTCACTGGCTGCCTTGGGGTGCGGCATTTATCTCCACCCTTCCCTGGTGCTACTGGCCCAGCCCCTATTAACCCAGCAGCCTACTTCACTTACCTCAGTTTTCTGGCTCCGATTGGGTCCTTGCCGAGTCCTGGTCGTGCTCCTCTGGAGCTACTTGTCTGGTTCAATTGTCTGAGTCCCACATGTCCATACAGGTTGTACAGTTCCATGGCTCTCCTGTATTTTCTCCTCTTTGGGGAAAAGGCCGAACCCCTATCCATCTCCCAGCTCTTCCTTTTGTTGCCCTTGGAGGTCCAACCCTTTCCCAGGGCTTGTTCCCAGACCCTTTTTCTGACACACTGGCAGCCACATGGCTCTCCCAGGCTTGCTTGGGTAAGTTCCCACCTGGCATGGCCAGGTTCTGTTGTCCGTAGCAGGGGCTTGCCACTGGCTCCTGCTACACAAGTCTTTTAAATGAAAGGGCAAAGTAGTAAGAAAAGTAGAAGAAAAAAAGACACAAAGGAGGTGGAAGGACAGATGGCAGTCCCAAGGCAGGATGGTAGAGAACACAGAACACTTAAGCCAATTCCACCCCCAATGGCTGCAGATTTTCAGATTTAAGCCCTACTTACACTAAAGAATTATCCTAAAAATGAAGCTGAAGTTGGACTGGAGCCAGAGGTAGGATCTACACCTACACAACTATGGGAAATCAGAGGTAGTGGAAGTGGCATATCAAGATTTCCCTTATACTAATGGAAAGGAAAGTGGACCCTATGGTCTATTCAAGTATTCAGGTTTTCTTATATGAGTCACAGCACCTGAGGCAGCAGCTTCAATTAAGTGATTTCATAAGTGAAGTACAGTCAGGTGCAGCTTTTATTTGGCCAGGAAAGTAAGTGGCTTATTTCTTCCCTCTACATCAATACTTAGCCTATGCCCCACTATGGTAATGGCAGGCATTATGCTGATGGAAGTACTGTCCTTCTGATGAGGTATGTAACTGAGGATCTGACAAGGCCCATCCCTACCTCACACCTCAGACAACAGGTGTCTTCACTCCAGCATTCTAGTCAAAGCCAGAGTTTGGCACTCTCATTATATTCCTCATCTTCTTTGTTTTCTACCTTAAATTGGTGACTAGAGTTCTTGTATAGTGTGACAGTGAAGTTGCACATTACTTTTAGACCATGCTAAGGGCATGTAAAACACAAGGATCCACATGTTAAAGCTCATTAACTCACTATAAGTGCCCTCTGAGTGTCTCAAATGTATACCAGTTCAGGCAAGGGTTAATTTTGGGCTGTGCTACGCAGCTCATGTTAGAGTAACTTCAATCTCCTCCACACAGATAAAATGAGCAATTTGCAGTCCTCCAGCATCCCAGAATGTCCCACTCCCAGTGCCCCCGCTTCCTTCCCCACCCAGAGCATGGATAGAGCCCAGGCGTCCTAGTTCCTAGTTGCGCCTCTGCTAGCCAACCCTCTAGTGGCAGCTCAGAGTCCTCCAG